ATTCTTATGTACGTGGATGCTATTGTGTGAATATTGATGCAGATATCGACAAAACAAACGCCCTCATGCCCAACCGCGACATACCTGCCCTGCGAGCAACCGATACTACAGCCAATACTTCGTGAACACCCACATTCACGATCACAGCCACAGTCGCACCCACGGTGGCTACGCACTTGTTGCAGGACTTAACAGCACTATTTAATATCCCGAAAACCAGAGCCGCTAAAGAAGCATTGTGAGACGCGGGAAACAGAAACTATTCGCAAAATATTGGAGGCTAAGCAGAAGAGAGTGCTTCTCTTTCCGGAGACGCCGATCGCTAATGGTTGGTTATCATTTACCATAAATCAGCATTTCCAGATTCATCCCTGAACAAATCCACATTTTGGGATGTTTAGCAATTATAATTCCTTCTGGCGACCAACTAGGGATATTGATTGAGGAATTCTTTTTCTAAAGGCAGACTTAGTCATACACAATGTAATTCAAATACTATATTCTACCATTCTAAAAATCTGTAATATTTAAACGTAGTACGTGAGGCAAAGTCGTAGTGCGGATCAGTACATTCTGGTAACTAGATTTACTGTTTTGCTCTATTCAAAATGTTGAAAAAGTGTTTACAAATGTTTTTTTTTCATTCTGGTGACCAGAATTGATTCTCTAAATTCTGGTCACTAGAGGAAACGCTCTGTGATCCTGACTACTGGAATTGTTGTTTTTCCTATTAAAAACCCTGAACAAGTGTCTACAAATATTTTTTCTTTTAAATTTGATTACCTTAACGTTAGAGCGTCTACTCTGGTGACCAGAATTTAGAGAATCAGTTCTGGCCATCTGAATGAAAAAACCATTTGTAGACACTTTTCCAACATTTTCAATAGAACAAAACAATAAATCTCGCTACCAGAATGTACTAATCCGTACTACGACTTTGGCTACCGCACTTGGTTTTAATACTACAGATTTTTAGAATAGTAGAAGATAGTATTTAAATTACAATGTGTATGACTTATTGTCGATTTAGAAAAAAAATCCAAGAATTAATAAATCCTTACATGAATATCGTTACTTGGTCACCAGAATGAGTTATAATCGTTAAAACATCTTAAAATGTGGATTTGATTTAGGGATGAATCTGGAGATGACGATTTGTGGTAAATGATAGACATTGGCAACCATAGCCATACCCACACCCACTCCCAGTCGATAGTTTGATGACGATATTTGACGGTGCTTCTTTCTCTGTCATCCTCTCTCGTTGTTCTTTTCGGTAGTGATTGTTCTTTCTACTGAGTAAAGAAACGACAGAAACCTAGCATGGACGGAGGCTGCAACAGTAAAAAGTATTCGTCGTCGATTTGATTTTTTTCTTTCAAATAAAGGAATACGAGGAAGACTTTATAATAATTGAGTTTTCTTATTCAGTTTTGACGTAAATGGAAACTGCCAGTCACCCTTGGAAACCACTTTATCTTTGATGACTTTTCTATTTCAGATAATAGACAATTGGTGACTCTTTGACTGCTTTGTTGCAACGTCTTCTAATAGCTCTCGTTGATCATTTGCTGAATCTAGTACGTCATTCGTCTAGTAAGTGTTATAATTGTGATATTTGATAGAACAGACAACACACAAGAGCTAGCCTATTATAGGAGAAACCTTCGTGTTTGATTTGTTTTCCTGTTTCTTCTGTAATTTGATGATAGAGAATTGGGAATTTGAGGAACCGGACGAAAAGCGTGCTTATTATGACAACGAAACACAGGTGATATTAGATGCTGCGAAAAACGTGCAGAAGAACACTCATGTTTGCCAGAGTGAAAATGACTTGTTTTCTCTGCAACAAAAATAGATGTTTCCTCGATTTTCTGTAGGATACCAGGTAATTCTCATTTACTTTTCCACTGAAAAATCATCTCTAGATATGAAAAGCGTCATCCGAAAGTTTTCGTATTTCCAAACTCGGCACAAGGACACATTTCACTGATAAAAATAATGAACTTAAGGAAAAACAATACATGTTCTTCGAAATCAAATTAGTGAATAATTGTTTTTGTACTTACAACGAATTCAGATATAAGGTCCGCATTGAAAAACAATTCTTTGTCCAGATTTTTTGATTTGAGTAGATATATCCTAATAAGTAAATAATTTATGTGAATAACAGAGAAAATATTGAGCGTGTGTGGTATGGGTGTGCATTTCGTGTGGATGTATCGATGCTCATTCAATCCACATTCATATCCACACTCAAAGATGTAGGACAAAGTTTGTTGATTTGTTCCCATGGGAAAAAAATGAAACTTTACGATTCTGGTGACCAGTAAAAGTTTTAGGGAGAGCGAGTACAACGTTCGATGGAGCTCGTTGAGGGCATCTAGCTTAAACCTCTCCCGAGAATAAGAGCCCATCCCATAATAGAAATCACGCGGAATAGAAGCCCAGTCTCATGACCATCATTTTCGGAACATAATAAAAGCTCACTGACGAGGGAACCTTCCCAGATGACACCCTCCGTTTGGGTTGGTATTTTGCCTGTAGGTAGAACTCATAGCATAGATAAGAACCCTAAAATGGTTCGTCCCCAAAGCCTGTTGTTGTTGAGATATTGCGTTTTTAAGGTATTGGGATAGTTCACTGCCGTGGTCCCCCTCAGGGATATCAGAAAAGCTCATTTTCGAATTTCGACTTGAAACTTTGTATAGAGAGAGGTCTCAATGAGAGTAGTTTATTGTGAAAGTTTCGGACCTATTCCTTGTTCGTATCCAAAGATACGGCTATGGTAACCTAATGTCACTTCCAAAGGCAAGTTTTGGTGTTCTTATTTGCGATTAGGAACATTCAGGAAAGCTGAAACTTTCACAATAAACCACTCTCATTGAGATCTCTCTCTATACAAAGTTTCAAGTCGAAATTCGAAAATGAGTTTTTCTGATATCCCTGGGGGGGGGGGACCACGGCAGTGAGCTATCCCAATACCTTAAAAACACAATATCTCAACAACAACAGGCTTTGGGGACGAACCCTTTTAGGGCTCTTATCTATGCTATGAGTCCTACTTATAGGCAAAATATCAGCCTAAACGGAGGGTGTCATCTGGGAAGGTTCTCTCGTGAGTTCGAAATATGTACACAGAGAAAAATTAAAAATGCGAATTATTTGGTTGATAATGTTCACTACTTTAACTTAAATGATCACATGATTGTTATTGTATTTCTTTCGCTCTGTGACAGTTTTTCTTCTTGGACTGCTTAGCTTCGTATGTCAGCTGTGACACATCAATAATTCTGCTTTTAAACAACATTTTTGTCCCTTCTCTCTATCTTAATTTGTAATATATAGAGTAGTATCCCGAGGAAGATGTAGGTGGATGTGTGAGTGTGGTTGTGAAGAAGGAGGATACAATCACTCGCGCCCACACCCGTACCCATACTCACACGCGAACCCAACACATCCACACTCATACCCTACCCTTAGGGGCGAATTGTTATGAAAAGAAGTCGAATCCGCTGCTAACTTTCTCTTTATTTTTTCTATTGGGTCTGCTTCCAGTATTCGAGCGTGAATTTCCATGAAATTGTTTCTCTGATTCGAAATTCTAGGATATGGCAACTTGCCATGATATGAATTTCGAAAACCGTATTGGAGACAATGAAAAAAACGGTGATGCAGAAAGAACCCAGAAAATGATTAAACAATTATTATGGTATAAGAAATCAAATGAATGTGATTCAGTGGATTTAACTGGTACGGTTTCAAATCTTGCAACAAAAAGGCAACATGAATATTGGAAAAAAATAGATTCTGATTGCAATGATTTGATTGACACTCTAAAGGACGTTGTAAATAAAATAAAGAATAAACTATCAGAAAATGGTTCTGCAAGAAATCGATGGCATGGCAAAGACCTAGAACTATCAAAAATATTGAAACAGGGTGAAAAATTCGATCGAAACCTGAAGCACTTATGGGAAATCGATAGTTTGATTCTATTCCATATGCAGTGTAAAAATTTTATCCCAGTTTTATTGGATGCATTTACAAATCGTTTATCAACCAAGTACACAAGTCCGGTTTTTAATTTCATGGAATCAGCATTTAAAGATCTTATTAACATTTATGCTGACTGTTCGACCGAACAACAAGATATGTTTTTACTGCGTGCATATTTTCGAAAGTTAGCAGGCGATGAAGCAGGAGCATGTTCAGATTTGAAATCCAGTACAAGAAATTCTGACTTCAATGGAACTAATTTATGTAGCGCTCTTAAAGAATTTTTTGATAAATCTGATATGCTTAACAAGCGTATTTGGTTAAATGAAGAGCAACTATGTTTATTTCATTTGACTCGAGCGTTTGTCAAAACACAATTGCTGCCATTAGAATTAAACGTTGTCACTGATGAAAATTTTCATAATATTTCATTAATAATGAATGATTTACAAATCGTTTTTAGTATATTAGGATGGACTATTAAGTTAATTGTTGTTGATATAGTCGATATGATGCTAGAAAAGATCGAATCTTTTGTTTCTAACCCGGATGCTGATTCTCATGGTTCACCGTCAATAGAGGAACGCATCAAATTTTTATTGCATGCTTTCAAACAAACAACTGATCCTGCCATGTTTGTATTCATGGTAAATGTCTTGAACAAAGTATCTGAACAGAATGAAGAACAACAACCAATTTCAGATCAATCAGATTTGTCTAAGAAGAATCCACTACAGAATGTACAATATCACATTGGCATTAGTGGCGAAATCAGGGATTCGCTGGTAGGCAGCTGTTGGAAGGGACTCAGCCGGTCAAACTCTATCCGACAGTTGAACTCAATCCTTCAAAAGCATTGGAATCAGTTCTTTGATGAAGGCAGAGCTCAGCCTCCACCGCTCCCTCCCCCCAACGACCCTCCCCCCCCCCCCACCGGCCCCCCCCCTCCCCCCAACGACCCTCCCCCTCCCCCTCACAATAATTTCGAACATCGTGCAAATATGCCAGTCAAAGTTATATTATCAATTGACGGTGGTGGTATTCGTGGGATAATTCCTGCATTATTCTTATGTGAAATTGAACGTCGCACTGGAAAGCGAATTAAGGATTTGTTTCATATATATTCTGGTACATCAACTGGTTCCATATTGTGCACTGCATTATGCACTCCATTGCGCGATGAACATTTTAGAAGTGCTCGTGAAATGTTATCATTTTACATGGGACACAATAGAAACAGAATTTTTCCTCAACCATGTTGGTGGAATATACCAGAAAGGCTAAAATCCTTATTATTCCGACAAGCCATTCTTAAGACGTTTAATGATGAAGGATTACTTGAAGTTTTGAAAGGCAATTTCGGGGATCGAACCATGCATAATATTTTACGAGGTAAAGATTTAATAGTGCCAGTTGAAATCGCTGGTGAGGGTCCAGCTGTCTTTATGAATAATAGCTTGAACCCAAATGAAGCTCCCCACTGTGGTTTGTATAAATACGATAGAAATACCCCTCCTCATTTCACGCCATATATAAGCCCCAATAATTTCAGTTTGGTCGATATCTGCAAAGGCAGTTGTTCAGCTTCACCATATTTTCCACCACATAATATTCAAGTTGGTGCAAGAAATTTAAAGATTTTGGATGGAGGTTATCGGCTTAACAATAGTGCTGATGTTAGTTTGCGATTTGCTGTTAATAAATATCCAGGTCATAACTTTTATATGCTATCCATTGGTAATCAGTCACCGATTCATCCTGTTATACCACATGATCATAACGGAGGAATACTTGGAGCTGTAGAAATCATGCGTGATGTTGGTATGGATCAAGATGGTCAAGCTTTTGCTCGTACTTTTCTGGGTGAGAATTATCAGCGAATTTGTCCAGCTAATGGTCCGCTTCCTATGTGTGATGTTAGTCCAGCTAATATTGCAGCTCTATGGCAAGCTGGTTGGAATATGATACAAGAATTAGATCATGCTGGTACACTTAATCAAATTTGTGATCGTCTTATGCAAATCAATAGTCTACCTCGCATAAATGTCAATCAGAATGCAAATCGCCATTACTATCCCGGTAGATATTACCGTCATTGTATGGATAATCCAAATCCGTATAACGACCTTAACAATGTTTTCGCCAACAATGGAAATAATCCAGATTTTGAACAAATCCAATCTGCTTTGAATAAATTCTATAGAACTTATCGGTGGTATAGGAAAGAAGATCCGCTTCAGTATCCTTCATTAAGCACCTTTTGGGATCATGAACCACTTCATTTAGCTGCTGCAGTTGGACATTTTCCAAGCTTATTGAAACTATTAGAGTTTGGAAGCAACCCTGGCATGGTACCAAGAAACACAGAAAAGAAGTTAAAACCCGATAGTCCCAGCTTTTGGGATTGGACCCCACTGCATTATGCAGCAGCTAACAATGAAAGCGCAATCTGCATAATTTTGTTATATTATCGTTGGTTAACAAATGAGCAAGAACAAGATATCCAACAAGATATTGATATAAACTTTCAAAGACTAAGTAGGTGGGAATTAACCGACCTTCAAAGGATACTAAACACAAAAACATCTTGGTTGTTTATAGAGAGACGTAGTGCCAAAGATCTCGCTCACTTCTTTAAGTGCTCAGCTGCTGAAACTACGCTAGTAAATGAAGAAACACAAATAGAGAAGATGATTCAACAAATAGATCAACGAATGCAACCGTAATAGATTAAGGATTTAGTTCTTGCAATATATAACAGCGCGATCATTCATTAAACCTGTAGACACGCTTCGGGAGCATCTACTCGTAAAATGAAAAAACTTCCAAAGTCCTATTATCATCAACTTTGAGCACTATCTAATTCCCTCGCTTTTATTTGCAATCATTATGTTATGGCCCGACATCTCTAGGTCAGTGAGGGTGTGGGTGTGGGTGTGGGTGTGGGTG